CTGGCCTGTTGTGTGAAATCATTGTATCATTTTTTGAAAATGTCCGGGGTAGCCGAAAAAAGGAGATCGAAATCCAAAAAGTCGTACATTAACGATTTGGGGCATTTTTAGAGGTCGTGTAAGGTAAAATAAAGCATGCATATACATATATTATTGATATTAAATATATCATAAAAATTTTGACACAATACGCCCATTAACACCCCGGACTCTGTGCCTTACCCCCATTTTGATCCCATTAAAAAAAAAAGAGTTTTAGCAAAAAAACGATTTTCGGAATTTAATATTGGTTTTAACCCTGTATCCAGACAAGATATACATATTATTATAATCCCTATGAAATATTTTAGTTGTCCCCCGCCTTTCGAAGAAAGCAGGGGACTATTAAAATGGGTTTGTCCGTCTGTCTGTCTGTCCGTCTGTCTGTCCGTCACACTTTTTGGGACACAATAACTCTCTTCCTAATTGAGCTAGAATGTTCAAACTTGGTGTATGTGTTTATTAGGTCAATGCCTTGATGGAGTTCGAAGATGAGCATTTTCCGCTTAGGGTAAGCAGAGATAAGCAATTTGATTGGTTGATGCTTTGGGACACGATAAATCTCTTCCTAATTGGGCTAGAATGTTCAAACTTGGTGTATGTGTTGATTAGGTCAATGCCTTGATGGAGTTCGAAGATGAGCATTTTCCGCTTAGGGTAAGCAGAGATAAGCAATTTGATTGGTTGATGCTTTGGGACACGATAACTTTTAATTGAGCTAGAATGTTCAAACTTGGTTTATGTGTTTATTAGGTCAATGCCTTGATGGAGTTCGAAGATGAGCATTTTCCGCTTAGGGTAAGCAGAGATAAGCAATTTGATTGGTTGATACTTTGGGGCACGATAACTCTCTTCCTAATTGAGCTAGAATGTTCAAACTTGGTGTATGTGTTGATTAGGTCAATGCCTTGATGGAGTTCGAAGATGAGCATTTTCCGCTTAGGGTAAGCAGAGATAAGCAATTTGATTGGTTGATGCTTTGGGACACGATAACTTTAGTTCTAATTAAGTGAGATTGATGAAACTTGGTGTATAGTTTCATTACAGTAATACCTTGACTAAGTTTGATAATGAGCATTTTCTGCTCAGGGTAAGCAGAGCGATACGCAATTTGATTGGTCGAGACTTTGGAAAACAATAACTCTCCTACTTTGATTGTCCCCCGCCTTTCGAAGAAAGCAGGGAACTATTAAAATGGGTTCGTCCGTCTGTATGTGCGATTAATTAATATATGTCATCTATTTATTTGGGGATTTCGGCGGGGGACATCAGCCTCACTGTTGGCTTGTTATTTACTGCTATAATATGAATTATCACTTATTCCCCGTTAAATAAATATCGGTCACCGGGTGCAGCTGTACAACTTCAAGGACCCTGGCTTCAAGTCAATTTACGGCTTCCATGAGGGGAAAAAAGTGGAATTTCGCCGTGACAGCGGCACCGATTGTCCGAAAACCATGACATTTTGACACAATACGCCCATTACCACCCCGGACTCTGTGCCTTACTCCCATTTTAGCAAAAAAACGATTTTCGGAATTTAATATTGGTTTTAATTAATTTTGAAATTGCAAATGCAAAGAGATTTTATCGCCTCTTCCGTATGTGATAGGTATTGGTACTATACACATAATCCTTAAAAGACAATTTTTTAAAATGACCGTAACGATGTATCGACACTAGAAACCGAAATCGCCTATTTTGACCTTTTTTGACTGCTGAGGCATCCTTCCGGTGGTCCAAATCTCTGGAATTTCTAGCGGTTGGCTGCGCCGCGATGATATTTATCACATATTAAATTGAGAAAATCCTCAGATATCAAGAACAATAAAAATTCGATACAATACGGCAATTTTTTAAGCAAAAAAACTTTGATTGTTGGGGGTGGGTTTTGAATTTATTTTGAACGTTCTCGGAATCCAACACTCTTCTATTTTTAATATGTGATAACTAAAATCCCCAAGGTACATTCTGTGCAAATTTGAAGGCAATCGGATCACAGGAACGTTGCCTGGACAGAGCAAATCAACCCGGTCGCGAAAATTTACTCATACTTCAAAGTGATTATCATGTTGTGTTATGATCGCCATGTTAGATCAATCTGAGTCTCTGATCCACCGTCATCTACCAAACCACTCCGAAATATACCCAAAATCCCAAAATCGACCGTAATTTCTTTTTACTTCGCGCATGTGCCACGCTGGAACCAAAGGTACGTTGACTACCAAATTACGGCGAGGAACTTTTCACGTTGGTACCTAGGTGCACTGAAAACTTCAAGGCGATACCTGTATTCGTTCAGGTCGTTTGATCTTGACACGGTTCCTGCCGTTCGTTTTTTCCGCCATTTACGGCTTCTGTAATGGCGAAAAAAGTGGAATTTCGCCACGACACCGGCACCGATTGTCCCAAAACCATGAAATTTGGACACAATACGCCCATTACCACTCTGTGACTTACTCCCATTTTGATCAGATTAAAAAAAGGAGTTTCAGCAAAAAATAAACAACCGATTTTCGGAATTTAAATTTGGTTTTAATTAATTTTGAAATTCCAAATGCAAAGGGATCTTATCGCCTCCTCCGTATGTGATTGCTATTAGTACTATACACATTATCCGTAAAAGACATTTTTTTTTAAAATGAGCGCAACACCAGGAACCGAAATCGACTATTTTGTCTTTATCATACATTAAATATTATATGCCATCGGTTAATTTTTATACGCCCACATTGAAATGTGGTCGTATATTGTCGTCGCCGCCGTCCGGACGGCTAAAGTTAATATCCGATTACTTTAAATTTATACACAGTGTTTAAGGTCATGAGAGGAAGAAGCCTACTGATTTTAAGCGATTTCCGATAATTACTGTCAGAATTATGGTCCTTGACCACTTCAAAAAATCTTGTGCACGCTCTAGAGGTTAAATTCAATATCCGATTGACTTTAAATTTATACACAGTGTTTAAGGTCATGAGATGAAGAAGCCAATTGCTTTTCAGCGATTTCCGATAATTACTGTCAGAGTTATGGCCCTTCATCACTTAAAATAAATCTTGTGGATGCTCTAGAGGCCAAAGCTAATGTCCGATTGACTTTAAATTTATACACAGTGGTTAAGGTCATGAGACGAAGTAGGCGATTGATTTTCAGCGATATCTAATATTTACTGCCAGAGATGTGGCCCTGATCACTTCAAAATATCTTGTGGACGCTCTAGAGGCCAAAGTTAATATCCGATTGACTTTCAATTTATGCGCAGTGTTTAAGGTCATGACACGAAGATGCCTACAGTATTGATTTTCAGCGATATCTGATATTTACAGCCATTTCCGATAATTACCGTCAGAGTTATTGCCCTTGATCACTTTAAAAAATCTTGTGGACGCTCTAGAGGCTAAATTCAATATCCGATTGACTTTAAATTTATACAGTGTTTAAGGTCATGAGATGAAGAAGCCAATTGATTTTCAGCGATTTCCGATTGAATCCTTTGAAAATCACACCTAACACTAAAACTAAAAGCAAGAAACGGGCCGGTTTACATTGAAGCACAACTAATTCCTGTCCTGCGTACTCTGTATATAAAAAACGGTTTTCTAAATATGCCTTGGATGGTAGCCACAAGTCGACAATTTTTGTTTTGTATTTTTCCCATTTTGTTCATAAGGTAAATGTAACTTTTCAGATACCTGATGACATTTATACTTATTGTTTCAATAGATTCTAATAACCCCCATTGCAGTTAATATGAAAGCTTTCATATCTGCTATGCAGATCTAGTTATTATTATTTCTGTTTTTTAATATTATACTATTATTATTATTACAGCATATTTATAGTGCTCAGCGGAACTTACAGAGTGACAATACAAAAAAAAAACAAAAAAAAAAACAATGTTAACAGTTGTATTATAAGTTCCATGGTAATAATATACTAAAATACAACAGGGTCAGATAGAATCCTGTTTAAATTAAATATGTGTTTTTAAGTTGTTTTTTTAAATAAATATATAGAGATGTAGGTCCTAGACCTACAACATCTTAAACTAAATTTTTAATTGTAGGTCTAGTTGTAATTAAATTAGCCTATTAGTATTATCAAAATGGCGATCAAGTACCGGTATTTAAAAATATTGTTGACCTATTTATTTTTGTGGGTGTGTGGGTGTTACTGTGACCCAGATGTGAGATAATTAATACATCACAAGTCTCAAGCGAAATAGGCCTATAGCCCAGTTCATGAAAGTTGTTAAGATATTGGAAAACAATGTTTTGATACATAATTCCACATTTGTTTAGGAAATAGATTTATAACCAAACACAAACAAAAGAATTTCTGTTAATGTTAATGATACCGGTAGTAAAAAATTATTTTTAACTTTCTAATTTTTTTTTACTCGTATTTTCTAAAGATCGCTAGGATTGGTCAATAATGACGTAAGTGAAATTTAATCCAATCGTAGCCTTCGTCTCATGTTATGGGCGCCATTTTTCTTTTCGCTAACTTGATTGATACTATTTAAAACAATTTAAGGTAAGTTATTATAATATTTCTCAAAGTTTTAATTGTTGTAAAGACCAGGTTTTTGTTATAGCTAGCCAATTTAATGATTAGTTACGATTTATCACTAACAACATGTCTAAGTTGCTGAAAATCGCGTAAAAATAAGTTTAGTGTGATTATGACTCATGACTCGCAAACAATTTGGATTTGGTATTATGCATGGCGTCGAAATGCCAATTTCATTGATTGATTAAGTACACCGAATTATTTATAATTTGACGAGTTGTCCCAGAAAATTCTTCAGTTTAATTTGAACTAGATCTATGCAGATAATTGATTTATTCATTTCATTTTCATGGCATATCATTGCCATTGTGATTGTCGAATTGGGGCGCCATGGTTGTGTGGACGAGTTGACCAATGTCGTGTCAACGACTAACTAGTGTACATGTATTTTGATATTTGTGGACTACATAACTAGACTTTTTGTGTGGACGAGTTAACTGGCATTCATTTTGAATGATTACAGTTGTTTTCGGTAAATTTAAACTGTGGTACACTATATTGGTACTTGAAAAAAGGTGAATTTATTTCGTCTTTATTTTTTTTTTCAGAGGTTGTAAATTAATAATCCACCAGTGCGGTATGTGAAAAATGTGTCTAGACAAGATGGTAAATTGAAGTAAACTTATTCTGTCACCCTACATGTTATTCCATACATGGGCCGATGATCTGAAATCCGTTAGTTCAATGGTTCTTGGGGTTGAAAGTCAGATATAGAGATTACCCCTCAGTACTGCTGTCCAATAATCATACGTTCCCTACCTATTTCCCTGTAGTTTAAAGGCAGCTAATGGCCCGTAAATTTAAATCTTTCAACCTTTTATTCAGATGGTCCCAATATTGAATAATTTCTCAAAGTATCATAAAATCTGTCATTGAGTCGACTGGCGTGGTTTCGAATCCCCGGTTGTACGTGGCAAGGAGTAGGGTCGCCTGTCCAACCTCGTGGGTTTTCTGCGTGTCCTCCGGTTTCCTCCCACTGCTAAAGACCCTACGCGCAGGTGAATTGTGTAAATATTTAAAAATTAAACCATATGTTAGTCCCGAAATGACCTAGTTTGTGTCGAGTGGACGTTAAACCCCATTTCTCTCTCTCTCCCTTGTTGCTGGAAAATAAAACATGACACATTCCTAACTCAACATTAACTTCTTAGGGCAAGTAGTTCAATGATTTCACTTGCCTGAAAATGAAACTGATTGCCCAAATGTACAAATTGCATCAATTTTGCTTTGTGGGATAATTAAGTCATATAGGTGGGATTGTTTATGTAGTCTGATAAAAAAAATCTCCAGTTAACTTTTAATGTCGCTCCCCAGTCCTTTTTATGTGGACGTATATTGTCGTCGCCCAAGTCCGTCCGTCCGTCCGTCCACAATTGCTTGTGAACACTTTACAGGTCACAATTCTTATCCAATTTCAACGAAACTTGAAATATAGGTTTATCTCCCCAAGATCTCGGTTCCTTTCGATATTAATATTAGCATGTATCGGACCGTAACTTCGTGGATTATGGCCCATGATTGTACGTAAAATCGCGTTTTTAGGTTGTGAACACTGTCGAGGTCACAATTTTTATCCGATGTGGTTTAAACTTTAAATGTATGTTTATAACCCACAGATCTCGGTTCCTTTCGATATTCGCGCATATCGGACCATAACGTCCTGAATTATGGTCCCTGATTGTACGAAAAATCACGTGGACCCCATAGAGGACACAATTTTTATCAGATTTAAAAATCGGACTGAAACTGACGGACAAAATGGCCGCCCCTCGTTCGCAAATACATGTAATGTCAAAATATTGCGTATCAGGGTTGTGGACTGGAGGTCACAATTTTCATCTGATTTTGATAAAATTTGAAATGCATGTTTATAACCCACAGATCTCAGTTCCTTTCGATATTCGCGCATATCGAACCATAACTTCCTGAATTATGGCCGAAAAATCACGTTTATAGCTTGTGGTCCCCCTAGAGGTCACAATTATTATCCGATTTAAAAAAACGTTTGAATATATCACCGTTATACTGTAAGGATGGTTGAGTTTGAATTTCGTAAAAATCTAACCAAAACTGACAGACAAAATGGCCACGCCTCATTGTCAAATGGCGTAAAAATATGGTATATTAATGTTGTGGACCCTGTAGAGACTTGAAATGCATATTTACAACGCAAAGATCTTTCGATATTCGTGCATATTGGATCATAACTTCCTGAATTATGGCCCTTGATTATATGAAAAGTCGCGTTTTTAGGATGTGATCCCTCAAGATGTCACAATTTTTATCCAATTTAAAAAAACGTTTGAATATATCACTGTTACACCCTTATGATGATTGAGTACGAAGTTTCGTACAAATTGGACCAAAACTGCCGGACAAAATGGCTGCTCCTCGTACGCAAATATTGTAAATATATGGTATATCAAGGTTTTGGACACTCTGGAGGGGGGAAACAAATTTGATCAGATTTTGATGAAACTTGAAATACATGTTTATAACCCAAAGATCTTGGTTCCTTTCAATATTCATGCATATCGGATCGTAACTTCCTGAATTATGGCCCTTGATTGTACGAAAAATCACTTTTTTTGAGCTTGTTCTCTGTCCATCTCTTGCAAAATGTGGGCAAATCATGCATGGCAACCGCTTGTTAAAAAATGTATGGGGATTGTTCATAAATTGCTGCAATTAAATTGTATCTTTTTCTCACTATACATGTAACTCATACCCTCGTATGTAGAACGGAGGGGCTGACAAGGAAAGCTGTCTAGTCGTATGGCGTATGCCCGCCTTCATTAGCCCAGGTTAGGAGCAGAACAGTAGGACGTTAACCTCCATTTCATTTCATTTCATTTCATACCCTCATCTTTGAGAAGAATCATCCCATCTGATCTAAAAAGATAATTTTATGTTTTCAGATGGTGAGCTTGTGACCCGGATGGATGAATGATGGAAAGACAAATAATAAGTGCTGTATACAGTATTTGGTATAAATCAGTCATTGAAAGTCATTACAGCTGAAGATTTTAATGACGCTCTGTACCGGTACTAACAATGTTGATTACAGTCAATGGAAGGTAATCCTTTGTATGCATTTACATTTCAATACAGTCATATATTTCCGTCATCCACTCCTGTGGTCTGTCATCCATATTTGTCTTAGCACAATACAGGCCTTAGTCTTAGTTAATCCCCTTTCCTTCATGGATTATAGCACCTGATTGTATTGAAAAAATCACATTTTGAGCTTGTGAAACCTCCAGGAATCACAGTTTTTATCTGATTTTTAAAAAAAAAAAGGTTCAACTATATCACCGTTACATCTTAATAACAGTTGAGCTCAAATTTCGTGAAAATCAGACTAAAATTGCCCAACAAAATAGCCAAGGTTTTGGACCCATCTAGAGGTCGCAATTTTGAACTTAAAATGTATGTATATAACTCAAAGATCCCAGATCCTTTCAATATTCGCGCATATTGGGTCGTAACTCCCTGGATCTCATTTCCTTTCAATATTCATGCATATCAGACCATAACTTATAGATTATGGCCCCTGATCGTATGAAAAATTGCATTTTTAGCTTGTGGACCCTTTAGAGTGACAATTTTTATGATAAAACTTGAAATGTATGTTTATATCCCAAAGATCTCAGTTCATTAGAATATTCAGGCATATCGGACCAAAACTTATGGATTATGGCGACTGATTGTACAAATCACATTATAGAGATCACAATTGTTATCCAATTTTGATGAAACTTAAATCGCTTTTTGGGCTTGTTCTCTGTCCACCTCTTACAAAATGTGGGTGTATCTTGCATGGCATCTGCTTGTTTTCACTGTGTCTCTTAGTGTTTCCATGGGAATCTGGGGGGTTGGATGGCCATGGATTATGGCGACTGATTGTACAAATCACATTATAGAGATCACAATTGTTATCCAATTTTGATGAAACTTAAATCGCTTTTTGGGCTTGTTCTCTGTCCACCTCTTACAAAATGTGGGTGTATCTTGCATGGCATCTGCTTGTTTTCACTGTGTCTCTTAGTGTTTCCATGGGAATCTGGGGGGTTGGATGGCCATGGATTATGGCGACTGATTGTACAAATCACATTATAGAGATCACAATTGTTATCCAATTTTGATGAAACTTAAATCGCTTTTTGGGCTTGTTCTCTGTCCACCTCTTACAAAATGTGGGTGTATCTTGCATGGCATCTGCTTGTTTTCACTGTGTCTCTTAGTGTTTCCATGGGAATCTGGGGGGTTGGATGGCAGACTGGTTAGCTCATGTCTGTCATTGAGTTAACTGGCATGGTTTCGATTCCTCAGTTGTATGTGATGAGGAGTAGGGTCAACTGTCCAATCTCATGGGTTTTCTCCAGTTTCGAATTATTGAAATAAAATGGAACCATATATTAGTCCCGAAATGACCTAGTTTATATCGAGTGGACGTTAAACCTCATTTCTCTCTCTCTCTCCGCAGGAATTTAGTATTTTGTAGTAAGATTGGGTGTCTCTACTTTCCATATCCAAACTTACCATATTTTATTCGAAATAATCTCCCTATAATTACTTTTTTCGGAATGCATCTTTAACTGAACATTTTTTTTGTTTTAATTTCAGGTTAATCAAACCTATGAATGTGGTCGAATAAGGTGTGGAGTTGATTAATAGCAACATTGAATGTGGGTTGAATATGGTGTGTTAAAGATGCAAGAAAACACACGAAATGTGTAAACTGTAATGGATTATAGCCTGGCGCTATCCAAATTACAAAACACCTGCCCTTGAGTCTATGAATATTTATTTTTTATGGCACCCACATTTTCATGTCGCTGCCTCTGTCCGTCCAGATGTACCTCCGGTGAAATTTGTTTGTGGTCACAATTATCCGATTTTAATGAAATTTAAATGCATATTTATATTCAAATCATCTGGGATCGGATTCATTTTGAACTCTAACCTCATGGATTATGGCCCCTTATATTGTGGAAAAATTGGGTTTTTAGCATGTGAGCCCATCCAGAGGATTTTGGCATAGAATATTACACCTGATTGTACGATCCATTGTTTTTAACTTCTGGATCCTCTAGAATTCTCAGTTTTATATGCCAACATTTCCCATGCCCGAATTAACCCTCTTTGCTGAAGATTTGGCTTTCGAGTTCAGAGTTATGCCCCATAGCCAAAAACTTTGAATTTGATAGGAGTTACAGTTTTTAACCGATCCTTTTCAGATTTGGTGTAAAGCATTGGATTCATGAGATCGGAAACCCCAACGATATGCAGCGATTCGAAGATAACCTTTTCAAAAAAGCTTGTGAATGTGATGAGGCTACAATGTTTTAATTTGCCGTGTAGCATTGGGACCATGAGAGGACAAATCCAATAAATATCAGCAATCCACACTTAACCCACTTTTTTGGAAATTATGTGAACGTGATAAGGCTACAATTTTTTTAACAGATTTTTTTCTAATTCTATATGAAACATTGGGACAATGGGTGATTAGCCTTATTTATATTCCTTATTCTCTTTTGCAATATGTTGGTGTGTCTTAGATGGCAACCACTTGTTAATTGTATCAATTGTGTTGTAATATTTTGAAAACAATAATAAATAATAAATATCAAAGTGGTGTTTTGTTTCATGTTTGCAATTTTTCAGCACAACTAGGATTATTCAGTGTGCTATGAGGGAAATTAAGCCCAGATGTGGCTTTTCTGAATTGTCCTCTTTTAATTACACAGGTTTCTTTTTTTTACATGGACGACAATTTCTACATGGAACTTCGGCTTTTCAGCCCCATCACTATAATTTGCCAGGCCCTAGATCTACTGATCAGGCGAACGGTGCAGAAAATCCTGGGAGGGTGGAGTAACTTTCATGACTGACACTGGGATCAAATACAGTCCCCCCCACCTGGTTTGTGAGCTAGGCCTCACACTGTTGAAGTCTGCAACCTTACTGTGTAGAAGTGATAATAACAACCAATAAGCACTGGGTTAAAGTGAGAAAAACACCCGATAAGCACTGGGTTGAAGTGAGAAAAACACCCTATAAGCACCGGTTTGAAGTGAGAAAAACACTCCATAAGCACTGGGTTGAAGTGAGAAAAACACCTGATAAGCACTGGGTTGAAGTGAGAAAAACACCCGATAAGCACCGGTTTGAAGTGAGAAAAACACTCCATAAGCCCTGGGTGAAGTGAGAAAAACACCTGATAACCACTGGGTTGAAGTGAGAAAAGCACCGGTTTGAAGTGAGCAAAACACTCGATAAGCACTTGAGTTGAAGTGAATAAAACACTCAATAAGCGCTGGATTGAAGTGAGCAATACACTCGATAAGCACTGAGTTGAAGTGATAAAAACACACGATAAGCACTGAGTTGAAGTGAGAATAACACCCGATAAGCACTTGGTTGAAGTGAACACTTCGTTGAAGCCTAATTTGCATATTTGGCATGGCTTCTTCCTCACTTCAACATCATTTCTGCCTTCTTTATTTCATTGAAAATTTGAAGTGTTGTTACGGAAGTGTGGTAGAAATGAACACTTCAGATATCAAATTTTTCACTTCGAGCACGTCTCGGTTTAGTGTCACCTACACTTCATATGGGTGGCGTCATCACTTCATTTGCGTGAGGGTTGTCGCGTTTCAAGCTATAACTGGCCAGCGACCTCGAGATTGTAGTTCTGGGTTTGGTCCCTGCAGGGTGTGAGCGTATGTGACTTGCCGTAGGAATCAAAATGCCAGATAAAATTAGAAACTCGGGCAAAATATTTTTGGCGATTAGTCGCCCTCTACGAAAAACTACACTCTTTTGATCGAAAATGCTAAATAGTATTTTGTATGGAAGCCTATAACTACCATTCAAAACACGAAATTCGAAAAGTCGAAGAGTAGAAGTTACGACAAAATGTGAGGCGACAGCACGCTATACAAGCCAAAATCGACTCGAAAATAGGAAATTAAGAAATAATACACTGCGATAATAGCGCCCTTCGTTTTTTCCTAATTTCTAATTTTCGACTTGCATTTTGGCTTATGTGCCGTCTTGTCGACTTTCGACTTAGTCATATTTTTGTATTTATTGATGTCAGTAAGAAGGCGCCAACACGCATACCAAGCCATTTTGGCTTGCTGTCGAACTGGCGACTTTTCGAGTTTCGCCTCGGAAGTGGTTGTAGTCCCAATTTGCCAGGACGCAAACTAAATCATTTCAATAATTCGTTTGCACGTAGAGGTCTTTAGCAATGGGTAGAAACTGGGGTATCGGAGAAAACCCACAAGGTTGGACAAGCGACCCTACTCCCTTGTCATGTTTAAGCCACACCACTTGAATCAATGGCAGACCTTGTGATTTCCCGCGCACGTGTTAAACCACTAGACCACCCAACCCCCATGTAAGATGGATTTTGTAAGTTTTAAAATAGGCCTACATAATAAATTAAATTGTTGTAGCCTAAGGTGTGATTCTTTATCAGACACTTTTGGCAGATAAAATATTTGACTTTGTGGAAAAAAAAATATGAATAATTCCTTTATATAAAAATTATTATCCATTTTGACGGGAAAAAATGAAAGACAGTGTGAGCCCTGATTGCACGTATTCAAATGCGACATGGTAAATTGAGACTACTACAACTACAATGCAAGTCAAAAATAAGAAATTAGGAAAAAACGAGGGACGCTATTATCGCTGTGTGTATAATATAGTGATTGTTATCGATAAAACTGTGTTGTGTTATACATGTATTGTTGAAATTAACTTACCCTTCATACATTACTGTATACTTTGTACACCAGCGAGTTTATTTTTGTTTATGATACGTTTCGGATCAAAGGAGCTACCCCAGATATCACGTGGCAGTGGCAAGATAACTAAAAACCATTTGATTTACTCACATTCTTCAGAGGAAATAAATCGCTTAAATGTTTTTGTAGTTTTATGGTATTTTGAATAACAAACCACTGACAATTGTCACTTACAAACATATGATATTTGTGGGTGTGTTTCGGAATTTATAAAACGTGATTAATATTTTTAAAAGATGAATAAAATGTTAAAAGTATTTAACAAGTTTGAAACTAATCCACCAAATACCCAATGTTCCGATGTCTAGACTTGAATGTCAGCCCCATAGACCCTTTCAATGATACTTTGAAAATGCCAAGGTGTCACATTCCTTATTGGATAATGGCTATCTATCTCACTTAATTAAAATGATCTTTCTCAAGATAAAATACCTTTTGGCTCTAAAACTTCTCTGGTTTACGTTATTTTATTAACGTAAGCCTTCATTAAGAAATAATAATAAATTTGTGATATTTAAATTTAATGTCAAATAAGCCTATAACATTTTTCAACAAACACATTTGATTTAGTGATTTATCTTTTTACAAATAATCATAATCCCAAAACAATTTGCATATGGCATGTTTAGTATTATAGGTCTTTAGGCCTTCTAATACCAAGAAATTGGCCGTTTAAAACCATTCTACATGAAGATATTTTTATAGACAAGAGTGCTCTTCTTTCAATGACATTTCATATAGCTTTCTTTTGTTGCTGTTTTTTTTTTTGTCTGTTTATTATTTTCAAATAGTATAATTTATACTTGAATCATATAGTACTATATAAAACCGTAACAAAGGGTTTTGTTAACTGGGGTTTTGAGTGTTTTTGTTTCTTGGGGTCTAATTTGGGGTGTCATCTAAATTCTTAAATTGCCTTACATTAATATAGTCAGATGGACCGTTGCTGTATTTCCCATGCCATGAAAAGAAATGGATCAGAATTGTTTTTGTGAATATGATGGTATATTAAAATTATGGGACCCGGTTAATGGGCAATATTATCATTATTCTAAATATATCTATATATCGCAATTGGTTGCCTGTTGAAGCTAGAATTGACTATAACATTCTGACAACTATCCATAAAGCCAAGTTTTCTGACATATATGCGTGAACTGTTTTCATTCACTACTCCTTTGTGACAAAATTTGCGATCTTCAGCAGATAAAACATTGCTTTCGGTTCCCAGATATAATAAATTGTATGGAAAATACTTTTTACCAGTAAAATGGTGCATATTTATGGAATGAGGTTCCTTGACAGATGGACACGACACTTCTATTTTCAAGTTTTAAATCAACACTAAAGACACATCTGTTTACCAAATGTTTGTGCAAGAATAAATAGTTGAACTCACTGTGAAGCGCTAAGGAATGACCCGCGGACATAATTTAGCGCTATATAAGACAATTTATTATTATCATTATTATTATTATTATTATTATTATTATCATCTAACAACGTAGCCATAACGAACGTTTGTTAATGTCTTGATTTAAAGTTAGGTGAGGATGGCAGCTGTCCTAAGTTAAAATTGATTTTAGTTAAAATTGTCACTAAAATAGTTTTGTGAAACACCACTATTTTAAGTTATTATTTTAAGATTTTAACTCGTGTATCTTAAGTTAGGGTGAAATTTTAGTTTAAGACGATTTTAAGGAAATTTAAGTTTTTGTAAAATAGGACCCTATGTATTCCAGTTCAGTTATTAAATACCATTAATATAATTTTAATGTTTTATCATCAACGCCATTCTAAAGTTAAGATTGGTATTTCAGACAATTTTAATTTGATTATGAGTAATACCACTGATACATATTCTAATAAAATCAAACATAACACTTACACTGCTTGTACTGTACATGTATATGTAAGAAACCATACTAATAATAACATAATTAATACATCGGCGTACACAGTTCTAACATAATTCCTCATATTCACAATTATATCGGTAAAGTCTCCATCGATACACAGGGCAACAGTGTTTAAGCAATGCGCAATAGAGGGCTTTTCACGCTACGGATACCTTACTATCACTTAGTGATGCGTGAAATCAACAAAAACCGGATTCCGTTTACGTATTTTTTATAAGTTAATGTAGGCTACACTGTAACAAAAAAAAATAAATCTGTGAAAATACGTAAAAAGTTCCAGAAACAAGTTTACCAGGAAAATGTTTATCTGTATATATTTGTTTTTCCTGTAATTTACAGATTTTTTTCCAATTAACGTACATTCCCTTTTCAAATGCAAAAAAAAATCCAGTTAACTTTTGTTTCCAGAGTATTGAAGGGGAAAAAATGTCTATGACTTAGAGGCAATTAACTGTTCGCTGTTGTAGCATGCCCAAGGACTTTCCATTCAATAGAGGTTTTCCGATGCATGCTTGGCGTACGTACTATCAATTTACAGGCATGTGAACTCAACTTTAGAGACAAACCGGCTTACACTGGCCTACTATCGAATGCAATACCGACCGAAACCAGAATATATATTTCTTGTTTACGTATTATTTGTTAGTTAATGTACTAGAATCAGTATATATAAAATCAAAGTGTGTATGTATGTATGTGTGGGTGGGTCGGGTGTGAGTGGGTGTGTGTTCGCCAGCAGGCTCATATGTGACATTAAATTAA